TGACAGCACCAGGAGCTGCGGGAAAATCAGTATCAGCGCTCGGAGCAGCTGACTTGGCTTCGGAGTTCGCCTTGGGGTGTCGTTTGTGGCTTGGCAGCCATCTGGATGCTAAGAAAAAGGCTTGTATGTATATAGAATCCATATGCAAGGCCACATACATCATTGTGGTAAGGGGGAACAAAATAAACATGGTGAATTTAAATAGCCTTAAAATGTCCAACGAAGGCATTATTACATCATACATAAAGTTTGGGTCAAAGGTTGCCCTTTTCAAAGTCCAAGGCTAAGATATAAGTTCAGTGTAGGACACTTGGATTAACATGAAAAGGATACATTTTGCATTGACGGACATGTTACCAATAAAAATAATTATTCAAGCTTATTTTTCGAACAATTTAACCAATTCAAATTTATATTGCCATAAGTGGAATAGTTCACACCTCAAAGACTCACCTGAGGAGATTGATATGCACCTCTCTTGGGGTTTATTTGCAATTTACAATTTATGTAATGTGCGTGCCTGTAATTTGCCGATTTAATTAGTGGCCATAACTCATTGTTATTGCCAAGGACGCGGCCAAGATAATAAATGACTTTTAATTGTTGGTCCAGCTCGTAATTAGTGGGCAATGGGATTGGGCCTCGTAATAAATGAACGCACATCTTATCGAAAATCTGGTAATGAAGTGCATAATGTGCTGAAAACGTGCGGACACCGAACAATCCCTTAACACAGGTGAAGTTTGGCCATTTCAGATGGTGATGAATGACAACCACATTGGCCAAGAATTTTCAAATAAAATATTCGTGAGCTGCCCCGTTTCACCTGGGCTTTATTCCCGTAATTACCATCTAATATGCGGCTAACCAACTTAGAGCATAACCGCATCTGGGATAAGCTGCACCAAAATCGTGGCGCACATTCAGCAATAATTAATAATCATTAGTAGGCCGCACATTATGAAGTGGTTGACTAAATATTGAAATTACTGTGATATTAATGCCAGGCCAGGAACAACATAAACAATGCCATTGTTCCCACACAGATGAGCGGCAACAACGGCGATTGTCCTTAATGACAACAATGTGCAAAATGTTTTGCAACAAACGAGAAACGGAAAGTGGCAGCAGCACCAGCACGAATAACAACCAGCCACAATGGCAATATTGTTGCTCTTGTGCGAATTATGGACATGCGTGTGAACTGTGCAGCATGTAAATTGAAACCCTGACACGCCCATTACCACTTGCCACTGCCGCCGCATCCAGAGAGTGCGGTCGGCGATCGGGAGTTAAATATATCCATTTATTGCGGTCGCAATTGTTTTAGGAAATTAATTACTTTGCGGCACTATTCGCACAAACGCGCAGCATTAGGCGAACAATTGCTTTATGACTCCATTTCTTAACGTAGCCTCGTGCATCAGACAGAGTTTTCTTCATATCAACTAATAAGCGCATGCAGATACAAGAGCTTTGTAATATTAGATATGTATGCTTAGAAACCTTGATTTAAAGTTTAATTTTTATAAAGCAACTTAGATTTCAGTGCCGACATTGGAGATCATTGTGAAGGAAGCCGCTTATATTTTTATAACACATTTTACTACCAAGCGATTCCTTTCCGCGACTTTCCATGGGAAATGGTTAACAGGAATTACTCCCTCCTCTCTGGAGGATTGGTGGGCAGGGGGCGGCCCCATCTCCCGGGGAAATTACATTAATAATGTCGCAGGAAGGACGAATGGGAACAACAGAGGCGAGTGGCACTTTCGCTGCATACTTTTCGGGGCCGAAGTTAATATTTGGAAATAATTATGCGAGTGGCAGAGTGCAACGCGTAATGCGCCCAAGGCAGCAATTGCATATGCGAGTGCATTTGCCATTATATTGCATAATTTATGCGCGCATTTAATTAAATTCCAGGCCTTTCGCTGCCTTTCCCGCCGATGACCCAAATTTGCGACACAACCACGCTTAATGCCCGCTTAATTTAATAAACTAACAATCCAAAGAGAAAACATTAACTGTCAAAAAAGCTTTAAATTAATTTCCAGTCTCATGCTCAATTTGTCAGCATATAACATTTGAAAAATTACGTACGCACTTTTAAATTGTTCAGCTGTTTTATTTTTATTTATTTTTTTTTTTTTGTGAATAACCCTCCAATAAATATTTGGAAAGTTAATGGCCTTTAATGAGCATTAGAGACTAAGCGGATTGTGCATGTTGTAAAGAGCAAATGTAATTTGCAATTAAAAAACCTATGACTGCAATTGCACGTCAGATAAATTTTGTGCATACAGTGAAATGTTACGTTTTTTTACCGCATGAGAATTTGCTTAAACTGCCCTCGAAATCAATTAAAATTATTCTATATTTCTGTGCACCTTTATTACCAAACCAGTTTTCGATGAAATGGTTATAATTTGATAAATCTAAGTATATTTTAGACTAATTTACTTTGGGCGCCTGCGTCTGCCGATTTTATTTAAATTCCATTAAATAACAATTATAATTTGGCGCAGTTGGTGATTTATATGGACATATGTACATATTTGCGAATATTTTACATTTATGGCCCGCTTTGCCAATTATGATAATTAAAATCTAACATTTCATGAAAAAGTCGTGAAACCGCACTCTGCTCGCCGAATAATTTATGTTTTTTAATGAAAACTAAGTTGGTATTATTACGCCTAATTTATGAGATAAAGGATCGGTTCGAATTCAATTAAGTGCAGTAATGGTTTAGAAAAACCAGCAGCGAGGAGTGATTTAAATACCAGTCAAGCCAGTGACCTCTGCAAAACATGTTGCCGAGTTGAGCGTAATTTGCATCAGTATTAAATGCAATTAATAAATAATGGGCACACCGGCATGGCGTGTAAACTCAGCAGAGAAGTGCAGTTGTGCCCGTGACAAGTTGTCCTGCAAGCTTAACTTGTTGTCCTCAGCATTGGAGACAACAAGTGACCGACCGGGCGGCAGGGAAATTAGTTACGGTGTCGCACAAGGACACGACCAGGGCTCAGAACTATCCTGAGTCCTTTGACTGGTGGCCACATGTGTGTGAGTCAGTGCCTCACAGTGCATGCCAGATCCGTCATCATTAGTTGAATATGTCACAACAGACACTTGGCCCAATTGATTTAGTGTCATGCACTGAGCTCAACAGTTCACTTGCCTTCTGCCATTTGGCAGCTATTTTCGTCCTTGTGCACTCCTGTCTTACTCCTCAGTTGTTGGACGACATTCCCCGTTGACACTCTACGGCCAGAGATCGATGGCATACAGAAATCAAGGGGAAGTGAATTTCAAACAGTTGCGTAATTAACTTGGGGCTTCATTAATCAAACACCCAGGCAAACATGAGAAGCACTTGAAGTGAATTATATATGCCGAAATTTAATATGCGTTTTACATTCGGCTAATGAGATTATCTAATTAGCCGGAATCTTCTGAATGTGCAAGCTTAGCCATTACTTTCTAACAAACTGACGGACATGGTCAGATACACTCGGCTAATAAAGCTGATCAAGAAAAGTTATTAACCTGTTACGAACTGTTCAACAAACCTAGAACAAGCCAGTTTTTCTATTTTTCGCATCTAAGATATGTTCCTTGTTCCATAAATATTACCAGTATTATCCGTATTAACTATCTGATTCAAGATAGCTTACAAAGGCTTAGATGTTCTTGAGCACGAGTAAAACAGACAGAAACGACCAATAGCTGACGGCTTAACATTTGACGCTGCGCCTCGTCCTGATGAATATTCATGATCCCTGGGCATCCTTTCCGACCACTTCAAAGTTAGTCTCCTCTGCAGTTTGTCCGACATGCCGAAATTATAATTCCAGCTCGCTCGTAACTCGCGCAAACGTCAGTCTCATTAATTTTGGGCCAGTTGCAGTTTTAAAATTTAGTGCCGGCCCCCAAGTTAATTAACACCTGAGCCCGGCAGCCGCCACCAAAGTGGGCGGGAAATGGGCTGGGAAAATCGAGCTGGTTTTAGCCACTTCAGTCACACTTTTGTGCTCGGCAGCCGTGTGCACTGACGCAAAGCGGAAGTGGCACTTTTCCCAGTTGAAGCTGGAGCGGAATTACAGAATGGATGGGGAGATGGCGAGATGGGGAATGGGGAATGAGGAATGGGGATCGGTAGCTGCCAGGAGCAGGCGTATCGAAAACCGAAACTTTTGATGGAAAAAGTTTGCAACAACAAACGCATGTTGGCGGGAAAACAGGCAAGCTAAAAAGATGAATAGCCGCGGCAAGGGCGCCTTTAAACCATCAAGTAAGTCGCTATAATTCGCGCGCACCGCCTCATGAATTTTTGATTCTTTCTTTGCATTTTTCACTCCGCCAGTCATTCCATGGCGTTCCCTTTAATCTGAGTCTTAGGCTTGAAAAATGAGCCTTGGCCAAGGTGCTGAGAACTAGGCGACAATCGTGAGGGGCCTGTCTTTGATTAGATAAGCTGGATTGATATGAAAAGTTCACACAGGGTAAGTAATTGCCAAATTAAAATGCATCACAATGATAAAGTGAATTCAACGTACCATTCGAAAGATAACTATGACAATGTAACCAAAAGTAAACTTGTGATTTATTAGTAAACACATTGTTGGCGATAATCGATAATACGATTTTGTAAATCTAGCAGATTGACATTCAATGAATGGCACAATGAGGAAACAAGAACCATAGTTGGTTGAGGCACAAAAAAAAGTTTTGTTAATGCGCTACAGCATTTAAAAATGCAACAGAGGCAACTCCGAAGAGGTTTCTCATATTTTTGCGCCGATGCAGCAATTTCTTTGAAAACAGACGTCGGATGAATGCTGATGACTTTGTCAACAACTTAAATGTTTGGTGGCAATAAAGTGTAGCGAAGTTTAAGTACATTTAAGCAGCAGCTTTCGGTTTCTTGGAAGGAAAACAAGATGGCCCAGCTAAACGAGATCCATAATGCAATCAAATTAACACAAAATCATTTAATTCCAGCGTTTGTAAATGAATATTAACACAACTATTAAAAGCATGCACAAATTATAAAGAACACACATCCATAAGCCAACGAAGTTACAGTTTTGCAAAAATCTATATGGTCTTAACTCTTTCCCAGCAAATATTTCCGAATTAGAATCGTTATGGATCGCATCGAGTTCTTCTATGTCCATCACGTTGATGCTGCAACTGTCATTTTCCAATAAGACATCTTTTTGTTCACTTTAATTATAAAATTATCACATTACTGCGTTTAAAATATATTTCAAAAAGCTATTATACCCCATTTCTTTGGAGGCACACTGATCTTTTCTGCTTCAAGGCTCTACATAAACTGAGAAATCCGAAGAGCCCGTATCTCGCGGCACTCAACTGCATACATGCAAAAGTATGCAAGGAAATAGAATCAAAGAATTGAGGCACACTGAACGAAAATGTTTCGGGTTACTTGCAACTTGTACATGATTAAAAAGGAGCATTTTAATTGGTTGACATTGGATATTGTAGTGTACGTAGTTCGATAGATTTTTAACTAGTGGGTCTTTTAATAGTGGGTGATAATTACTAATAAAGAGGACCTTGTACTTCCTTCGCTAGGGATGCGCACTCTTGCTATGCTCGGGTCTAGCTCGCCGTAGGTCGGGGTTCTTTTAGCTTAGGATAGTACGAACGCTACTACATTTTAATAAGTGCGTCTTACTCATAAACAATATTCAAAACTGGATTATCGATTAACAAAAAGAAATGGCTTTATATTGATACTAATGATACACGCCGACACGTGTGAAGATAAGCTACAGATTCTGATAAGTATTGGGAATTTTGGATGTTAATGATTCCCTAAGTCTTTACCCTCCCTACCATGACAATGCTACTTAAAATATTTACATTGTCCCTTGGCCAAGTTCAAAATAACTCTACCACATATTTAAGAAAGTGTTCAACATAAGTACTCGACAAACCATTAAATCTATTTATTCACAATTCATCATTTTTCAATATATCTTCAATCATAATTCCATTTATATAAATTCAGTTTAATAAACGTTTCCATTAAATCTCTTTTACAAACTAGCAATATTTTTATCTACGCATAATTATCCTAGTCGTTCTCTAACTCTTCATTTTTGTTTATATTCCGTAAGTAAAATAAAGTATATAAAAGTAAAGTATAAAGCAAATATATATAAGTAATTGAATATAAAATTAGCAAATATAGTTACATAATCTTTAGTCAAATGCAGATATTATTTTAATTAGACGTTCGAGTGGCATTTTGTTAGAATTTTAATATAGGGGATTCATAATAATGTATTTATCATTGTGGTTGTAGTACTCACGACCTCAAATATCCACTCCATGATGTGCGTAAAGTTGGGCCCAAGTTCACGTTGACATTGTCGAGCTGTAGGTCAAACTTTAAAGGTTCTAATTTAAATTCCTATTCAAATGCCAAAAGTTCCGTCAATCTGCGAGTATTTAATTCATTATAAATCGCAATACAAAAGAAAATCGAGAATCAAAACAAAACACGAAATATAACTGCAGTATTGCAGCGATAAGACCTTAGTAAACCGCTGGCTGCTACGCTGCGCTGCGATAAGACGAAATCACAAAGTTGGACCTCCGTTGGTCATAGGAGATGATCTTCACTGCGTGACGATGATGATGTTCAAATGTAATTAAATCTGCTCCGGTCGTCTAAACTTCTGCATAGTTGAATAATCTGGACGAGCTCTAGCCTTCCAATACATTTGGTTATCATTCGGCAGGTGGCCGGTTGCGTAATTTGATGCTGAAGGTTATGTCGCCTCGTGGCCTCTTCTTGGAGCGACGGGGTTTAAACCATAAGCTGATGCGGGGGTCGACGAGACGGGGGGGTAGTCGGCTGTAGAGCAATCACATGCTCTTATATATAGGCCTGGTCTTCCTTACGCCTTGGGGTCGAATCTCGTTGCCACTTTCACACACAAATCGAACACGGAAATTTATTGAAATATACCAACTCTTGTTTTATGAGATTGGATATATATATAACTAATTATATTTCCACGTGTATGTGAAGTTAAATGGGCAGCGTCAAAAATGTATGAGCGTTCGCCACGAAGATTTATCCGATAATAATCTAAGCTCTGGGGAAGCTGCATGCTGGTGGTCGCTGTTACAGCTTTTCTTTCCCTAACTGTATAATCGTACGATCATATTCTGTTCTGATTGGTCTAAGACAATTCTCTCGCTTTTTCTTTTACACAAAAGCTGCTATAATTTAGGGCGAGGGTGTCTTGAAGAGTTATTGCAGTGTAAAGTTAAGTTGGTCACTACAATATGTTGGAAGAGCTACAGACTTAAGTATTAGCATACAAGAGGTATTGTATGATTTAATTAACAAGAACATTTATAGGGAAAGTCCGATTCCCGAAATCAAAAGACAATATCTCAATAATTAACATTAATTTAAGAACCAAGATTTTATAAGATTATATTTACAAATCTATTATTATATATTATTTATAATTATAATAATGCTAATTATAATATGATATAATTGGCAAAAAAGAATAATACAATTACAAAAAATCTAGGAAAAACATACAAAAGTGTGGTGCCACTTTAGGCGGTTTATAGGCGTTAGAATGGGCGTGGCAAGAAGTTTTCGGCAAGTCGATAGAAATTTACAAGACCAATACAAAACTGAAAACATATCAAGCGCAACTCTTAAATTTGAGAATATTGAAAACTAAAGAGCATCCTGAGGAGAGGAAGAAGATCGCCCTAATTATAGTATTTGAAATAAAAGAGAACCCCTAAAGACTGGAACAGAGTGCTTATATACATGTATATGAGTACTAAAATGCCTTATATCAGTAAAACATTTATCGCAATAATAGATCGCTATCAGAGTTGATATATTTCGATGATTTGTAAGTACCCATAAATTGATAAAGTAGAACAAATTTCGTTGGCGGTGATCTCTCTTCGCAATCTCTTACTTCGATGAGATTTTCTTGTCACTTTAGGTCTCTTCTCCGCTCTTATTTGACGGTTTTCTCAGACTTATATAGTTATCTTATCTGAGTCACAAGCAACAAAAAGAAGATTGTCAGCTCTTGACGGTTCACTGTTTGCCTTGCTGTTGCCTCAATTAACACCTTCTGCCGTGGCGATAATAACGCAGACCCCAAACTGATTGGTAATCAAGAAAAAAGGGAAGGAAAAAATCGCTGAAAATGCCCGTAGACCAGCGAATCGCTCTTTAGTCAAGAGCAGAACGCGCTTCGAGATGGACACGGATGAGACGAAGGCTGGAACCTCGGCTCCGGGGAAATACCACGATGAGGTCGACTTCACCAGCGGATACGAGACCCAGTACCGGAAGGAGTACAGCCCGCTGAAACCGATCTACGTACCGCCGCCGGATAAAAAACACGCCTGGTTTCGCAACTGGTCCACCATCCTGATGATCAGCTTCCTGTCCATGGTGTTTATCCTGGGAACCGTGACGCTGGTGGTCGAAGTTTTCTCCGCCAGTCCCCTGCAGATCTTCATGATCGTGGCTATATATGTGTCTATATCCGCCGCGGTGATTTGGCTGGAGGTGGTGTCCATAAAAGTGCGGTGAAATAATACATGTCGTGACTAATTTTGAGCGTTATCGCACTAACGAAATTCGTTTTATTTTCAAACGGTGGCAATCGAACTGTGTTGTGCAAACAAATGCAAAGCTTAACTAAAAAGGAAGCGACTTTACTGATTAGGCGCTAAGAACAAAAAATCATGGTTTAAACTAAGTTCAAAGTAAAGAAAAAAAATCCTAAAATCCATGTGTTTCATTTCTGACTAGACAGTGCTTATAACATTCCCCGATAATTCAGGTTCAATTAACTAATTATTTACAGCCCATAAATGAACGTAATCTAGAGAGCGAAACAAGGTGGCCAGATAAAGGTCTTTGTGTCATTTAAGTGGTCAGATAAGCAAACAAAAGTTAGTAAAAAAAGGACCATAAAATGGTAGCAACAATTTGATCCATTTAACTGCACAATAAATACGCATTTTGCTTGGCGATGCATAAAGGACAAACGTTGAAGTGACGTGTTAAAGCTCCATACATCACAGAGATTAACAAAGCAGAATACATGAAAGGATTCCCTTATCAATTAACTAATTAAATTAAGCACGTTAATTAAAAATTCATTAATAACGGCTTAGTGACGGAGAGTGGAAAAGTAATTATTTAACGCAATTGTTTATTAAAGGAAGTGCCACAAACCACATCTGCGTTTGCGTCTGGCACACAAAATTATTAAAATTATTTGCACTTTTACTTGAAAAAGTAAAACCGAACGAATTTTCAACTATGTCAGTTCCCCATGGAAATAGTTTTCTAAATATTTTCACATTTGCATTTTTCTAAATCACTTCTATAATTGCTTTTCACATGCCACTGGGGAAAAACTCCGACTCCCTCAGAATTTCCCATGTTTTTACAACAGTTTTCTCACTTGTGTGTGTCATCAAGTTGGTAAAATTCTAGTTTAATAGCTTGAAATGTTACGAACATTCGGTCAGCGTAAAAACAGCCGGACAAGCTTATTTCGCACTTGAAAAATCCAAAAAAAAACGCTGTCCCATTAAACTTTAATTTCCGTTGACAATGGACGACACTTTTTGCTCTTTCCGTTTTTCGGCGCCACTCGAGACGGAGGCAGCAGCTGACTTACCTTAATTACTCACAGGATTCCGAGCCGTGCTAATTATTTGCAGGGTGCACTTTTCCGCGAACCAAACGCAGGCGGAGTGCAGAAAGTCGCCAGCGCATTTAATTATAATGGCGCAAAGGGCGTCGGGCTTAGGCATTAATGCCATTTCCGGTCGCCGACCACCGGAAACCACGGCGGAGAAGCCGCCCGCCAACACTTTGTTCTGCCTCGACGCAAAAAGCACGGGTGGGAGCGATTTAGCAAATAAAAAGGAGATGCGGGTATAACATTTTGGCATCAAGGTAAGTACTTACTATGCTTGAAATTATTTAATTAATGTGCAGCACCGAGAATTTATTGGATTTATGTTTAAAAGAAATATTCCAGAGTAGCTTCTAGCACTCAATAAATAAATTCAAATAAAGTCACAAAGGCAAACAGAAAATATAATTTATTAATTGGCTTTTTGTAATAAGAAGTAAACCTACCATATCTTGAGTCCGAGTAGCATAGTTAAATGCAATTTAACTAAAGGTGCCACAGAGCGGTGTTAAAACATTTTTGTGATATACAAAAAATACAACCTT